TAAGGAACCAGCAGATCAAGTAGCTTTTGGAATAAAACACCAATTTTTTTAAAATTAAACACTATCTAAAGATTTGCATCGAAGCGTTTATTTTTGATAGTGATTTTAATCACTGTCAGATATCATTATACTTGATCCAACTATACCACGTCACAACTGTGCCGCGACCCCCCTGTGCTGGGTTTTTTTTTTTCAAGACGTTTGCGCGATCGGCTGGGTTCGAGTGGAGGGGGGGTAAGCAAAAGCGCGAAACGCCACGTCATGAAAAGCGCGCCAACGATACCGCGGTAACGTGTTTTTCATAGCGCGTTAAATCGAGGCCGCACGACATTTTGTATTTTTTTTTCTAGACAATTTTGTAGCGTATCACGCGTACGCCTTTACACGTCTATAAAGGCGTATACGTATGTGCGGGTAGGTCGACGGTAATACATAGTTGAAACATATAGCATTTAGCTTCGATACGAAGCCGAGAAGATATTAATTTTACTATGATGTGTTTTTTTTTTTTGTGTCTGTATTCGATAAATTTCGGCTCTCGCTAGACCGATTTTGATGAACAATACGACAAAAGATCCCAAATCGTATCAGGTCCAAGACGACGTAACCCTCAAAAATTGAAAAAAATTCCCTCGTTCCCCGTAAACGGAGGAAATGCCCTAAAAAATTACAAATTTAAAAATCGCTAATTTTCTACATTTTTTTCAAATTTTTTTACTTAAAATTGCCATAACTTTTTTAAAAATGACCGAATCAATATGGTTTTTTTTTTTATAGATACCCTAGATATTTTCCTATCATTTTATATATTTTTGTGAACATTTACTCTTTAACAGCCCACAGGAAGGGTTTCAAAATTATAACTTTTTTAACTCAACTTTTGGAAATGTTCCGGAAAGACAGACACTTTTATATATACCTTTAATTGAATTTAATGTAATATTTCGTGGTGAAAACGGACATCAAAGTTAAAGAAAAACGTATGAAAAAATTTTCGATTTTATATTTTGTATTATTAAATTTATATCGCCCAAACTTTCGGAAAAACGTATGGATCAATAATGTTATTTTTTTATAAATAATTTTCATATACCCCTTTCATGCGACACGCTTTTTTTGTAAATCGCATCATACACCTACAATACCTTAAAACCTTAAACATGCGTATTGAAACCAGGGCGTTTTCAATTTAATTTTCGAAAGTATTCCGGAAATACTGACACTTTTATTATATACTATATATCTTAAATTAAAGCCTATGTAATATACTTTATTTTGAAAAAAAAAAAATTTCACCTCTGGATTTGTCTTCACGGTGAAAACGACTGGCCGTATTCAAAAATATGCAATTTTTTGTGTAAAATTCTGGGTTTTGTATTTTATTTTATTTTAAAACACCTGACGAGGAGAGTACAGATTTGGTATAAATAAAAATTGATATAGCGTAGAAAGTGAAGCTTATTTAAATTTTTTTCCTCTTTCAAGTCGATAAAAATAACTTTGAACTAGCCTGAATAGCCATTTTTTTGGCCGTCGTTAGCGGCGTACAATTGCCGAGCCGGTAAAACTCGTGTCGTTCACGCTAAGGGTACGACGATCTTTTGCATTTTTTTCTTAATTCTTTTAAGTGGAATAAGTTGAATTAAATTTTCAACTTGTCTGATGGTTATATCGTTTATATTCAATAACTTCAATAAAGCACAAGGATCCCGTCACTGTGGTCGCCACTCGCCAGAAGAAATTTCTTATGCATATTGAAATTATTTTACTATATTTTAGGTTTTAGTTTCGATGCAAAGCTGAGAAGGTATTATTTCGTGACTCTATCATTTCTATTTTCTCTGCTCCAACTCGACCCACATATGTCAACGATACGTCAAATGATTACAATTAGTTTATAAGATACCACCCTGAAAAATTGAAAAAAAAATTCCAATTAAACAGTGACTTATCCCTCGTGTTCTGCATACAGATAATTAAAATCGTTAATTTCTAACGTTTTCAAAGTATTTATCGAGTACGAATCGAGTCTAACATGATAGGTTTCATCTACAAAATCAAATCATTTTACTTTGTAATTTAATTATTTGTTTTACACCATTTGTGTGTGCTACTAACACAGACTATAATATTGCAAATTTCTTTGTTAACGCGTTGCTATATAAATTGTTTCCAAAAAAAACGATTGTGTGACTTCACCTAAATTAACAATGGATTTTTACAATTATAATCATTTTAATCATAAAAATTATAATCAATTTTATAGTACGCTATTGAGTAGACCTTTTTAACCACTTTTTTAGATTCGTCGCGAAGCTGAGAAGGTATTTTACTCTTTTATTGCCTTGAGATAAAAATATGATGTGTTTTTTTTTTTTGATTATTTCATCCAAAGCAAATCGTAAAAATCAATTCAGTTATGGCAATTTAATTTGTAGAATTTTTTTTTGAAACACCAAAAGTCACTAGGAAATAATTACAATTATTTCTATTCGAGTTATCTATTTAATAGATTCTATTACACGAATGCAAATGCAAAAAAATATCAAGCTACTCTGATAAATTCATTATAAATAGTAACTATAAAATTTCCTCACTGCATATTAATCTGAACGGTACAATTTTTTTAATTCTCACAAAATTTTCCATTTAACGATGTCAATTTCAAACTTGCCAATTGAGCTTAAAGATATGGTAATAAATAAATTTTTATTTTTTTACTATAAACTATCACAAAAATCAACTTTAAAGGATAGGTTAAATATGTCGTTTCCTCTTAACGTATTAATTATCAAAATCAGTATTAATTTAAAATGATTTTTAGCTTCGATGCGAAGCGGAGAAGGTATTAATTTTACTATGATGTGTTTTATTTTTTTTTTTTTTTTTGTCTGTTGCCACTTTTTCTCAACTCTCACTGGACCGATTTCTTTCAAAAATACCTCAAAAGATCATAAATCGTCTCTAGTTCAAGACATTACCNTGTCTGTTGCCACTTTTTCTCAGCTCTCACTGGACCGATTTCTTTCAAAAATACGTCAAAAGATCACAAATCGTATCTAGTTGAAGACATTACCCTTAAAAATTGAAAAAAATTCCCTCGTTCCCCGCAAATGGGGGAAATATCCAAAAAAATTACAAATTTAAAAATCGCTAATTTTCGAAATTTTTTCACTTTTTTTTCTTAAAACTTCATAACCTTTTTGAAAAATCAACAAATCAACATAATTTTTTTTTATACTAAAACCTTAGATATTTACCTTTCATTTGATATCATTTTTTTGAAAATCTATCACTTAACCTGCTCATTGGGGGGGATTTAAAATGGCAACTTTTTTACAAAAATTAATTTTTTCAACTTAATTTTTGAAAATGTTCCGGAAATACTGCGTCCTTTAAACATATATCAAATTAAAGCTTATTTTATGTACTACAAAATGAAAAAAAAAAATTTGTCCCGACACTTTTTTTTCTACATTTAAACGGCTGCCGTAGTTAAAAAAACACTATTTTTGTGTTAAAATTTTCGATTTTCGATTTTAAATTTTCAACTTAAAAATGCTATAACTTTTTGAAAAATGTATATATCAGCACAAATTTTTTTTTCTAAATACATTATAAGTACATCTTTCATTTGACATACTTTTTATTAAAATTGGACAATTTTCCCTCAAAATAGGGGGCGTTCAAAACTTAAAATATTATAAAAAACATAAATCTTTTTCAACTGAACTTTTGAAAATGTTCCGGAAATACTGCGTCCTTTAAACATATATCAAATCAAAGGTTATGTTATATACTATCAAATGAAAAAAAAAAATTTGTCCCGACATCTTATCTTCTATGTGCAAATGGCTGTCGAAAATTTAAAAAAAAATGTAATGTTTGCGATAAAAATTACATTTTATCGGGATGTTTTTTGTACTTAAAACTGCCATAACTTTTTCAAAAATGAACAAATAAAAATAATATTTTTTTGTATTGAAACCTTAGATATTTCCCTTTCATTTGATATAATTTTTTTTGAAAATCTAACACTTATTCTGCTCACTGGGAGGATTTAAAATAGTAACTTTTTTACAAAAAATAACTTTTTCAACTTAATTTTTGAAAATGTTCCGGAAATACTGCGTCCTTTAAACATATATAAAATTAAAGCTTATTTTATGTACTACAAAATGAAAAAAAAAAATTTGTCCCGACGATCTATCTTCTATACGCAAATGGCTACCATATTGAAAAATATACTATTTTTGTATGATAATTATG